CCTGCTGAGCTGTGGAGATTTTTAAAAAATAGTCTATTGTCTAAAGACTTTCTAATTCCAAACCATTTTATCCAAATTCAACAAAAAATCATGGGATGAAGAACTGAACAATGGAAAACAGAAAACCAACTGTCCCAATGAAACCGCTAATTTTCATTGCTTCTCCCCCAGGGAAAAAAAATAGTCAAAATTACAATACCTTGGAAAAGATAATCTTCAGTGTTCATGTCTGGATTGTCAGTAATAATATCAAATGGAGACCTTCCTGCCATCATTTCAAACATCAGCACCCCGAGAGCCCACCAGTCCACACTGAACCCTGTCAATGTTTGCAAAGCAGATTTTCAGCCACCTTGAATTTAGGTGTAATCTCTCAGAAATGAAGATGAATGGCCTGGTTCTACAACGTACTGAAATCCTCCACTTGCATGAAGCCACAGACACCAGGACATACACTATCACTGGACAAGAGCCTTCTGAATTAAGAGTCTGCAAGCATCTGCCAGGCAGCAGTGATTCAATGAAAATGCACTGCAGTGAAGCTGAGAATGTTCTGATTTTTTGTTTTACAAGAAGCTGAACATTATAGTATCTTATAACTGATAGATTCAACTATTGATCAAATCACTTCACAAATAACACTGGCTAAAAAGACTATTATACTTTTGACTTCTGCACAAACAATAACTTTTTGTTGCAGCACTCTGTAAACTGGTCTGGAGCACAAGACTGGCTGGGATGTCAAGTTCTTCAAGGAGAGGTTTTGCCACAGTATCATTAATAGTTATTTTCCAGGGAAAGTGTGATTTCAAAGAAGCTGAGATCAGTGACTGCTAGGAGAAAACCAACTTATTTCAGAAAACAGGTGTCATGTATAATATGCATTCCATTTTCACAAGATATGATGGCACACAAACATGGAAATAAAAAATTAATTGTATTTGAAACAACCTACAGGAAGAATTTTGATTTGTGATTCATTATAGCAAGAAACTATTTAATCACAGCTTACCATATTCTTCTCCTCTTAGGATCTCTGGTGCAATGTAATTTGGTGTCCCACAGAAAGTGCTTGTAGTGTCACCAGGGCCCAAACCTTCCTACATGCATAAATAATTTCATAAATTAAAAGCTGACCTCCTTTGCCAGGAATTTCCCTTAAGACTTATAAAGCCAAGTTAGTTATGAAGTCTAAAGACCTTCCTTTCAAAAAAGGCAACATTAGAGGAAACAGCTGTAGTGCTCTAAGCTGGCTTATGGCTTTACAACTTATCTTCAGCAAATTAATTGATGAAAACACATTTGTAATAACATTTTGGCTACTATTTACAGATAACATTTTTTTAAAAATTCAGATCAAAATCTATTTGGGAGTCCTTTTTTTAAATAGGTGTTGAGAAAAAAATCCCTTTTTCAGAGTCAAGTTGCTGTCCACAACCAAACCCAGTAACATCAGCCTTAAGATAAGGGATAAATTATATCAGCTTTCTCTTAGTATCACTGGATGCAGTACTTGACTGAAGTGTAACAAAAGAAATTGCTAATGAAAGACAAAGTGACACAAGTAAGGTAAGAAAACTCTTTACCTTGCACATGCCATAGTCAGTTAATTTGATATGACCCTCTGCATCTAAAAGAACATTGTCTAGTTTTAAGTCCCTGTAGATGATGCCTCTTTCATGTAGGAAGTTTAGAGCAATACAAATTTCAGCAGCATAAAACCTGAGATTAAAAAGGAGAAAATTCATATTAGCATTAAGATTGTGCAAAAGGTAGTGCAATTAAAATAATCTGCTCTTAAAACATCCCTCTACAGTCAGCTTCTCTCTATCAACAGCACACCCAAAAGAAAGGTCACTCAACTAAAGAATCAACCTTTTGTTCTTTCTTGGACATCGATATTATTTTATGGAATAAATTTTGGAAAGCATTTCACAAACAATGAAACAGCTGCAACACAAAAACTTCACTATAACTGTCAGAAAAGTACCTTGCATGTTCTTCAGGAAGTTTTCTTTGTCGTTGCATATGGAACATGAGATCTCCCCCATTTACATACTCTATGACAAGAAACAATCTGAAAGTATATAACACAATTAATGGATTCCAAGGAAACTCCCAAGAAAAACTATTCTCATCCAATTTGAGTCAGTTTCACTTCCACGCTTGAACTGCACTTCTAGATTTCTTATAGTTACAGGAACTATTTAAGAGAAAAGAGAGAGCACTGATCTGATTCATCTTCTGCAGGATCCCACCCTTGAGCTCAATGACAGGCTAAATGTAAAGGAGAGGCAGCTGCAAACAACAGGGTACTATTTGGTGTGAAACCTGCACAACTGTTTTAACAGTAGAAAAGACAACAGCATTTTAGCATTTGCCTGATAGAATGAGGTGCTCAGTCAGATGTTAAAAAACCCCAACATATAAAGATAGACTTTTTTAGAAGTTAATAATAGCAAAACCACAGAAGTCTGCTAGAAGGTGACACATGGCAAAAATGAAAGTTTGTCATAAATAGGTGAAATTGTCACTGCAAAAAGACATCATAGTTACACGACTATCACTTATTCAACAAGGTTGATTCTTGTGACTTCTACGGAGCAAGACTCCACAGTATGGGATTTGCTCAGTGAGTGCACTGCTTGGAAGAGCATAGTCTGATTGACTGGGGAAAAAAGCCTGCCTGAAACAAAGCTGATTATTTAAAATTAAGGTTTTAAGAATAATAAAAGATGCATCATTTAAGTTCAAACCTTTCATATTAAAGGTCAATGAATCAGTAATCTGACAAATGCCCCTGATGTAATAATTATTACTCTGCTTGATTAAATATTGTTCTTTTTAACAGCAAAGCTGCAGGATCAAACACGAGCAGCTTGGTAGTTTATATAAACCTAAGTCATTGAGGTTTCTGCATAAACAAAATCTGAAACTTCTCATTTCTATTTTTGATATACTTTTGCCACTAAAAGGCCACCATCTTTTAAAAATTACTTGATAATTAACAATAATTGAGTATTTGGCCATAATAGAGAGATCAGTATCTTTTGTAGTATGTGTTACATGAATTAAACATCTAAATATGAAGCTTGCTGGTTCAGAGCCTGAAATGCACAAACAGATCTATTGAAAGCAAGATGACATCAGAATTACTCAGAGGGATTAACTCAAATTTAACTTCAAAAAACAAGTTTTATCTGAATAGCAAATGACACAATTTTTATCCACCTGAAGTTGTATGACCTAGCATATTACTATACAAGATTATTTCTCTTAAACCCTATGTTCATCACTGAACTCCTCCTGATACACTTAATCACAGCCATTCCCAGCAGAAAAAAACCTTTCCATTTGCATAGACAGACTGAGACTAAGAATTTGAGGAGGAAGTCAGTTTACATATGTCCATTACTTCTGAGAGATGAAAACTCAATTTGGTGAGCTAGCAGGACAACTAATGAAATCCCCCCTTCCCTGACCTTGCCAAGCCCTTTACATGTAGAACATGATAATGGACCCATTGCTCCTCTCTACAAGGCACATTTCCTGCAGGGGAGCTCTGGGCACAGGAAAGCTGCAGCATTCGGGCTTCTTAGTTCTTCTGTAGAATAAGTTTTTGGAATAGTCTTCTCAAAACAAGACAAAAATTCAGTAGGAGAAAGGAATAAGTGGAATCAACCATATAAAAAGACTTCATTAATTATTAGTTTGGAGGAAGGGTCTCAACCTTGGGAAAATATGATCCTGGCCATGCTGCCAAGCTCAGAGAGACCCATGGGACAGAAAGATGCTGAGTGAGGGTTTCTGAGGAAGGCTGTGGCTGCTCCAGGAGGCACCGTTTCTTTGTACACCTATTTTTCCATGTGTTGCAAACTCCTTTCCATATATTCATACACTGGAAAACATCTCACTGGGAAAACACATGTTCTAGTCTCTCAGACCATTTAACTGGTAACAACTAAAGAAGTTGTGGTTTGTTTGTTGTTTTTGTTTGTTTGTTTTTCCTTTGGAAAGAATTCTTCATTTGAAACAGTGTTGAAAACTTGGAAGGTAAAACATGAAAAATTGTAATTGGACCCAACCCATCTTGCAAGTCTTTCAGTGTTCTCCCCACAAGACTATAAACACCAAAATAAAATAAACAATCAATAAAATGGATAATGCCACAAGTATTTGATTACAGCACTCCTGATGTTTTCTGCTTCCAACCCAACTGCCCCATCCTATTTAGAAGCTTCCAATGCTTTAGCATGTTCAGAACCTGTCAAGTTGCTTGTGCCAGCCCATGTTCAAGCACAGGACTGTGTGAATACTGTTGGTCTTTGCTCTTTCTAGAAGGATTGACTCAAACACCAACAGCTTTGCATTATGGAGGTTCCAGATTGTTGCCATCCTTGGCAAACACTTACCTGGGAATTCTGGGCAAGTCCAATGCACATATTTTATTATAATAATACAACAAGCATTGCTATTATCTCAAACAACATCAACAGCTAGAGTTAGCATCTTTTTAAAGTAATTACTTATTTTCACTTAAATTATTTAAAAGGACCTGGAAAACCCAGCCATTTCCTCCACACCACACTGGCTAAGCTGTATCCCTAACAATTCTGATGCTTCCTCCCCAGAAATGCTGTGTGATGGCAGTGGCTCCGTTGGCTTTATGAGAAGCAGTTAGTACAATGATCAAGATTTTCAAAACAAAATAATTTCAGATCTTTCTTACCGACTTGTTGTTTGAAAGCATGAGTGTAAACCAACTAGGAATGGGTTACTGGATGCCTGTTCAAACACATGTTTCTCTGTCTGTACCCAATCAATATCCTGAAATAGAGTAATTGAACAATCAGAACTGCTGCTGGATAACCACTGTGGGTATTCCCAGAAAAGAAACTGTGAACATCTAGGCTCCCTTACATATGCTGTCATTGTTACAAATGTTCCTCAGAAAGACAAAACCCCCTAAAATCTGGAGGAAGTTATAAAACATTTTAATTCAATTATCTATTCAGAAGTTTCTTAACCATTTAGAAAGGTCTGCTCAAAATGTAAAATATTTTAAAATGTATCAAATATTGCAGATGCATAACACTGCTCATACTGCTTCATAGAAATAAATTGTCTTAGATAAGTGATCCTGAGGCTGCCAGTAATACAGCCAAGGTGAGTCTCTGAACTTCATTTTCTCATCTGAAACTCAAAATTAATTCAGTGAAAACATCAAAACCTGATTAGTTTGTCCAATGAAAATAGTTCTTAGAACTAGCACAGACTACCTGTGATACAGGAAGATGTCCTGAACACCCAGTGCAATACCATATATTAAAACCCTATCACAGTTTGAAGGATACTGGCACAGTACTGCAGAATTCAGACCCCTAGTAACAATTTCTTGTATAACCATGCAAAATTTAACCCTTGCAGCAACTGCTTTTAGCAGTAGATAGTCACTCTTCATGCAACACACCGATCATGTTCCAACCTGCAAACACTTCAGCACCCTGCCAACAAACTAGGAATATATTTGTTCTAAAGGGCCTCAACTTCCAAGAGATACTTCTAGCTTCCCAACCAATCTCGAGACAACCAAGACAGATACTGAGAAAACAGGCCCTCCTGTCAAGGACAGTGGAACTGAAGTCTGAAATGAAGTCAAGAAATGTCATCATCAAATTAAATAAATCTTTTAGGTTTTGTGTTCAGACAGTCCTGAAGATGTAACACCTTGGAAAGCTAAACTTGGATCCAAACCTGAGCCAAATTTTGAATAAACTAATAAACATGTTCAGTTCTTTGCTTTTACTGAATGAGCTTCTCTTTAGGAGTCTTAAGTCCTTCATTACTGCACTTGTTGCACAAGTACATTAGTGTTGCACTAGTGCACTGCGGTTAACAAGATTAAGCTTAGAAATATTTAATATCAGAAGCCCAGGTATTTGATTTGCTTCAATGTAATTCTGAAAAGAATCTTAACTTCCCTCCAATATAAACCACTTCCTGGAAAGCACTACCTGGTACTTGCTGTGTAATTATTTTTCTTTCTCCACAAAACGCTCACTAAGTAACACTTCCATTACTTGTAATATCTCATGCATTCACAAAATTCAGTGAATTTCCTATCAACTCCCAGAATTTCATCATCCAACCTATCTTACAGAAAAGCAAAACCAATTAGCTCAACCTTTTATGTAATTATCTGCAGGAGCCACTATTCAAAGGAAGATTTTTCTCATCTACTTCTGACTCTGAGGAACAAGTAGCTCATTAAACAATACTATTCTTTAACTTCTACCTTCTTGGAAAAAAAACTTAAGGGAAGCAATAAATAAACCACACAAGTCCAATCTTTTGTCATAAAGAGAAACATCAAATGATGTTTCAAGCCAATTTATTTTAGACTAACTTTACAACTTTGCTTCCCTAACTTCTGGAATAAAAAATGGCAGCCAGAGAAGCTGATTGAAACTACCAATATAACCAGTATTTAAACCAATGTGTTGTTCTTTTTTCCCCAACATGCTACTTTCAAGCAATCCAGTCTTCCTAACAGCATAAAATACATGAGCAGCAGCTTTAAAGTTACATCGTTTGAGAAATTCACTTTCTCTTGTAAGAACAGTTAGGTAAGAAATTCCCCATGAGGTGAGACTGATTCTCCATCTCTTATTTTATTAGTCTGGGATTCCACCCACAAGGCTGATGCTGTACCTCTTTACTCTGAATATTTAATGGTGTCCTATTTTATGTGCCCCATCACACACCCTGCCACTCCTGCTAAGCATGTCACACAGCAGCATTCCCATAAAGCTGGCAGCCTGGTGACATCTGGGATGGCTCTGCCAGGTGTGACCACATGCATTCCAGCTGCCCCATTCCCTGGTCCTTCCCTTAACACAGCAGGTTCCAGGCTGGAGGCCTTGTGGGTGGATATAAGCTGCCCTCCTTGTTTGCTGATTGGCTCATTACATTTACAAAAAAAAAAACAGAATAAATACAAAATCTATACTTTTCAAGAAGTGTGAACATGATAGGAAAAAGGAGGGTTGGGTGGGGTTTTTTTGCCTTTTTCCCCCCCTAAAATAAGGCATTTGAGAACCTGCAGTAAAAAAACCTCAAAAGGATTTTTAAAATAATTGAGAAATGCAGCACTGGCTTCTGTGGCAGACAACTTTTTTTACAAGCCAGTTAAACCATGATTTCTTTACACCCATGGAAAAAATACTCCCAAGTACTGTGTCACATTCACACCAGCTCTATAATCGTGACCGTAAGAACAGTTTCAGCTCATGTTCTAAAATACTGACAAGACTTTGCAGCTACATTCAGTCTTGGAAAACATCTTTGTTTTCTTTCAAAATAAAATACCCAAATTTACCCTATTTATCTCATCACTTACAGATCAGCACATCCAAGCTGTAATATTTTCCATGTGCATCCTACTAAGACTATTAATAATCATTTAATTATTAAAAGAAGGGAACTGCTCTCAGACTTCATCCTGGTGCTTCATGCAGACAGCTGATGGCAAACGAGTTCATGTGTCAGTAAAACTTCTATTACAGACGTGTAAAACCTTAGCTGCTTTCTTCATGTTTTTTTGTTAAAGCATCCTGAGTTCTTACAAGATGTAATGGAATGCAAATAACACAGACTTTACCTCATCATCATGGACCAATTCTTTTTTCACCACTTTCATAGCATAGATTTGATCATTCTTTTTTAATCGAACTAAAAGAACTTTGGCATAACTTCCACGTCCAATAACTCTGATTAAATCAAAGTCCTGTAGTCCAAGCCCCTGAGAAATCTTAATTCCATCCATTCCATCAATGACTGGTTTGATATCCTGCATAAAAAGAAACAGATGCTAGAGACAGAAGACAGTTTCAAGACAAGTAACTATTAAAACAAAGAGGTCTTGAACCACTGGACAGGATTCTTGCCATTGCCACTGGCACCCAGATCTGCATTTGTTCAGAAATGGTTGATACTGATTTTGTTCTCTCTAAAAGTTACTCTATCTGTCAAGGTAGTAGTTCATCTAGTGCAACATCTAGATATTCCCCGCTGACAAACAGAAGGTGATGCCTGGAGAAAAGAGGTTTGATTCCAATTTCTGAAGTGCAGGCTATGTAGAATTACCCTTTGCAACTAAAAGCAATTCTTATATAGTACACCATAATAAAGGCTATGTAAAAAGAAGGCAGATAAGGAAACAATTTGCTCATGAATATACCTGTCTTGGTTTCAGTTTAAGCAAGAGCTGCCTGTATCAAATTCACTACAGTTTTAATGAACAGGTGCCTGGGCACATAGAGAAGCAGATACCAATTTCTCAGATGTGAGAACTGGCAGGAAATACTCCACTATGGCAAACATTACTTTAAAATTCATTATTTAAAAAGAGAAATTTTGAGTGTTTGCTGGAATTACAGGTGAACATGTAAGACTGAAGATCAAGCAGTTGAACTAGAGAAATGCAGCATGTACTTTGACATTCCATGTTTTACCAGTGTACAACAATGCTTTGACATACCTTCTGTGGACTATTTTTGTCTGACCTCATACTACTGCACTTGTAGCCAGATCAGCATTCTGCTGAACTAGGGAAAGTATTTATATAAAGAATCTTGATCTAGGATTGACTGCTATTAAAAGAGATTGCTCTGAGCTTAAAGATTCTAGTCAACAAAGCTCCCAGAACACCACTTCCACTCTGCAGGACACCTTCAATTATTTTAGTCAAGCTCAAAAGCAAGGTGGAAAAAAGATCACAGTAGCAAAATTGAGGGCAGCTGAGCAAACAGCACCTATCAAAACTCAAAAACACAGACAGTACCTGAGCACTAATGATAGCAGAAGGCAGCAACTCTAGATATCAATTAAAATTCTCTGATGTGCTTAATTTATACCTTTCATATCTGAATTTGAGATAAAATCTCAAGACATGTGACTGAAAATGAGGCAGCCACTTACCCAGGAGCAGGAACTACTCAAGTGTAAAATAATAGTAGTGACAAGCATTGTAGTGGGGGTAGAGGAAAAAAAATAGGTGCAGGCTTGCTTAAAGTGGGATCTCAAATAACTGCAAAGGTTCTGCAGAGTGCATCCTATTTATCAAATATGCCAGAAGCATTTCTAAAAGAACCCCTTTAGAATGAAAGCATATTGGGATTTTTAAACTGCTTTAAGGGAATAACATTCTTGGTATGCAGAGATTGTGTCAGACCATCTACAAAAGAGATGAAAAACAGAGTTTAAGTGTATGTTACTCTACTTCTGTTTCCACTGGAGCTGTCTGTAAATTATTAGGTGGTATTTATATGAAATGTCTAAGAGAGCTGGACAGTTAATGTGCTGAACCAGCTTTCACAATGATAGCCTGCAGATGTAGCCTGAGGTTGACAAAGGGTGCACATCCATTAGAAAGAGGAGACAAAACAATAAAGCCACCATTTCTTGCAAGGACCAATAAAATCAAACCCTCTGTTAAACCACTGTTGTTCCAACATGAATGGAGGAAAAAAAAAAAAGTCTTCCTCACATCATGATTGGGATAACAAGAGCTGAACACCGAAGTCTGAAAAATCCAACAAAAGCGCTTAAAAAAATCAACTCTTAGAAAACTCAGGCCTCTTTTTCTAAAAGATAGCAGAAAAAACAGGACAAATAATCAGCTACACATACAAAGCTTTACTATTGAAAATGTGTGTAAACGTGGATTGCAAAAGTACTTTAAAAACATACCTCAGAGTCATCCTTAATGTTGTCATGTTTCCGGTTTGAAGAAATGTAGGGAACTGGGAAAGAAATCAAACAAGTAATGTGGTCATTAAGGCTCTCATTAGAAATAATTTTTTAAATTGACAAATAGAAAGCTGATTGAGTAGCTCAGGGTCAGCAATTTGCTTTAAATACTACAGGACAGTTGATCAAATTTTTCCACTTCACTTTGTCCTCCTGACAGCAGATCCCAAGGGCACTGCAGAAACAACCAACCCTGATACAGTAAGAAATTTCATCAATGAACCTTTGAGCTCCTAACAGTATCTGGCAAAGCCCAGAGTCATCTTGGAGAATAGGTGTGATAAATGGATCCTTAAAGCAAGATGGGTTAAACCATCACATACATGAATTTAGAAAGACAACTCTAAATCACACAAAATTAAGGAGAACCTGAAATCTGAGGGCACGTTTCTATTAGCATCATAGTTTGTATCTGAAGAGCAGTGCTTTTTTGTTTGTTTTAAAAAGTAAATCTCTTGTTGCCAGTTATTCCATGCTTAACTTCACATTCTGGAATGGTTTTAGAGCATACGAATCTAGGATGAAACAGAACCAGCTGAGATGAAGTACATTTACCATAACTGAGTCCCTCAGGAGCATTTAGTTCACAGGACTAAACTAGAGCTAATCCAAAATACACTCAAAAAAAAAGAAAACAGGGCCTCCAAAAGGGGAAACACATGAATTCCAACTTAAGAAAGTACTCACTTCCATCAGTTTCTTCTGAAGGGAGATCAACTTCATCATTTTTATCATCTAACTGAGGTTCCTGGGAAGGCATGACCGAATCCTTGCAAAATACGTAAGTTACATAGGAAAAAAAGGTTGGTTTATGCAGTCTCTTCTAAATGAGTATGTCTTGCCATATAGCAACACAATGAGAGCCTTTCATGGTTATCTTCCAGAATGAAAACTGGATTTTGTAGAAAGTATTTCCAAATATTGACATTTTGCAATGAATTATAAAACCAGCTGACCAACAGCCTATGAACTTTAACTGGTTTCTGCAACTACAACAGATGTTTAGCTGTCTTATAAATGTAAGAGTAAGATATTTTATTGCAAAGTTCAACCTTTAATTCTATTTAAAACTTCTGAGTCTGTTTCACATGGAACTGCAACAAAGTAAACACTCCAGCACTACGTTACACGCTAAATTTAGAACTCTGGTATATTCCTTTCCTCTTTTAAAAACAGGAATTGTTACTGTAAAAGGATACTGCATAAATTGGTTAAGATCACAATACCAAATAGTTCTATAATGCATTTGGATCTTAGTCTCATTCACAACTCAGAATGAAACATGTAAGACTATTCCAGTAGGTCTGTGCATATATCAATTGGCAAAGAATCCAGTAACATTAAAGCACGTCGTATGCAACACCAAAACAGAACAATACTGGCTGAAGTTTTGAGCTGGAGACAACATGATGCAACAACCAGTGAGATAGTGGTAATGCCTGTGATGAGTATGGCAAAGGGCTAAAAGTCAGGGATGCAGATTAATGTTTAAAGCCTAAGAACTACACTAGAGTTGACACTGGAATATATGAAGGGAATGGAGAGGATGAGAACAGTACTGGAAAAACTGATGGCAAGAACATGAAGGCAACAGGCCCTTTTGCAAGCAGCAGTGCTACACACAAGTAAAACACAATGCTTGTACTGGAGAAGTCAAACTCAAGCTTCCTCACACTTAAACCATAAGTTTTCTCTCCTCACTTCAGTCTCTTCCACTCGCAATCCAAAAGCTTGTCCTCCACAGACAGCTCAAAAGCTGCAAACCAACCACCACCAAGCGCGACAAATCTACAATCAGGCGCAGCACTTAATGACTTGGGAGGCACAGCTACCAACAGCAGCACAGGACAAGGAAACAACTTCACACACAACACAAACTTACCATATGCCTTTTGCAGGTCAGTGGAACCAGTATATGACAACGTTTATGGACCAACAACTTGCAGTTGATACACTTGTAGCCTTGCCTTCCGAGACCCCATATCCTTTCACTGCACTGGCCACAATACGCTCTCTAGAAGCCAGAAAGCACATCATCAATTCAGTTATCAGGTCCTTCCTGCAGGTGAGCAGTTATCTAGAAGCAAGAATCCACCCTTCAAGAACCCACCTTAGTCATGTCCTAATAGATATTCAATAATAATTTGAGAACATCCAGGGTTTCCTGAGCAGCAGAAGGCTACACTTGATAATTCAGCTAAATGCAGTACTTTTAAAATGAATGTTAAGAAAACAAGTGCCTGAAGCATATGGAACACATTACAGCCTAATGGTAGCAAAACACTCAGACAATAAGTACTTTTCAAATTTCAGGTTCTGACACAGGTTAACCAAACAAAACTGGCAGGAATTTGTACTACACAATTACACATAAAAAGCATCCAAACTGACTGCTTTTCAGAACACTGGTACAAAATGTTGCAGAAGACAGGTTGAAGTATAAAGAATGTTCTACATATGCTTTAACAGTGGGAGGTATCAGTAGAAAATTCGCATAATTCAAACTCTCACCCATCAAGCCTGATGCAAAACCTCTCTTGGTTGCACAATTTCCTATCACAAATATACGGCCTTTTTTATACATGCAAGAAAATGGCATCTGAAGAAATTACACCCAAATGAGGGCAAATTAAGAAACCAGACATGCTACTGCTGACTTGAACAGGGCAGGGCTCTTCAAATAGTTTTTCCAGTGTGTGTACGCTGTGGTCATTTCATCCACTTTACTCAAAGTGCCAAGGAGGAACCCAAGACTCCTACATGCCAAACGGTTACCGAGCTGCAGCTGACACCCTACACACTGCATGGGTGCCAGGAGAAGAGTTAATCATTATTCCCTACCTGCAAAATTCCTCCAGCAATCACTGTAGGAGGCTGAGACTGCCTGTCACACTGCAAGCTGCACATGAAGCCTTGCACTCACCCCCCATTTCAGGCTTGGACAGAACTCTGCAACTGTCCCAAAGCCACAGAACAGTGAAAGTCTGTTCCACCCAGCAAACCAAGTGAGAGTGTGGTTATTCAGATCCTCAGACTAATGAATCACACAGGGTCCTGCCCAAAAGCCTTAAGCTACTAAAAATTCTTACTAGCAGTATTAGAATTAAAAAAATTATATACATAAGAAAAACAATCAAAGAAAGGATCATCAAAAAAACCCAAACTATTTCTGTACTGACCCTCTTATACTTTAATTGTGGTAGAAAATAAAATTTAACTACATCCCATTCATTTGTACAGTTTGTCCTCCTTGTTCAGGAGAAACCTAGACTGCAAACCCAAAAAACACACAGCCTAGTAACAGAGGAAGCCTTAGACATCTATAGACACTTGTTTCAAAATTGCTGGTCCAACAGACTTCCTTCAGTATCCTTGTGAAGGCTTGGCAACAGTAATATTAAGACTAAATAAAATGTCTCAGGCCCTGAAAATGACAAAGAAGAAAATTATCTTGTTTACTTCAGTCAGAAGCAGGGAAGCAAGAAAAAAAAAGGACACAGGGTCAGCTCCCAAATTGACAAGTATTATAAGGTTATATTGAAAAAGGAATTAGTTCACAAGGTCTTAAACATCCAGCCAACATTAAAATTTGGTATCAAGTTCAGTAATACATGTATGAACTTATTGTTAATACAGTTCATGTAAACTTTATTACTAACTTCAGTTGGATATTGTTTGTGTTCTGGCTTTATGCAATTTCTTTTGGACACAGTTTTAACAAAGTAGTCTTGCTTAGGATTGTTGACAAACGGGCATGCTAATGAGGTTTCAAAGTAATTATGTGTATATTCACTATTTGCCTAATTTCAATTAAACCATCATTATCTAGCATTATAGATTATTAATGTGGCAGGTAGGCATTCGCAGTGTTTCAAAGGAATTTTTTATGCAGCAAATAAGCACAAGAAGTGTATGTTTCATACTATAAATTAAAAAATGAGTTGGTACGCCACATTGTACAATGTTTTAATTCAGCTATATTCTGTATTTCACAAGTCCAGTGATAAGATACTGAGTTTTAAGGGTTTTTTTCCTCTTTTCAATGCAGTTTTGGGTTGGGAGTATTAAAAAAAGTTAATTTAATTTTAAAAAATGTTACTGCTGAATCAAAAAGTCAACTCACCTCCCTGTACTCAGCTTTGTATGGAATCCCCCAAGGTGTATGTTTGTATTTGTGCTGCAATACTTGGCATAATGGGATAAGTGAAGGAGGAGCCTCAGCCTTAAAGCTACATTCACTTACACGGATTAAGTCAGCTACTTAATGCAGCTGTGCATTAGGTCAACAAACCAGATATTTTTTTTCTTAATTAGATTATGCAATACTTCACATTCAAAACAGATAAAGCTGACATCAAGGGCTCTAATCTGTACCAATGACACAAGCACTGAAGGTAAAAGATTATGCTAACAAGCAAACAAAATCACACAAGGAATGGAGAGCAGAAAAGCTGCTTTAAGTAGGCATCACTTCAAACAGTCACAAACCCTGCTTTTCTAGACACTTTAAAAATAAATCATTTCCATTAATCATATATTATTAACTCCACCCCAGATTCAAACACTTCCAAGTTTTTCTGATTCCATGACCTGAATAACACTGCACAGACTGAGAAGTCACATAAATAAGCATCTTGCTTTTCATTTCTTTTCAACACTCACATACAGAAAAAAGCACAGACTGAGAAAACAATTACCACAGAACATTACCAAAACCCAACATTTTCTACAACAGTACTCACTCTGTTAAAACGTTTGGCTTGAAACAAATGCCCATTCACTCGGTACAGCTTCCTCCATCTTCTGGCTCCACGGCGGTAGATTGATTCTAAGAAAGAAATGAGAAAGGTGTAAAGCAGCAGCATGGCAGCACAGCAACACCAGACACATCATGGTAAGCAAGTTGTGCCTTACAACAACCTTGCTTTTCTAAATATCAACGCACAGCTCAAATCCCTGCTGATCTATTATTTTTGTCAGGCAGTGTTAGTGACAGCTCCTGCAGGATGTGCTTTCACCGCTGCCTCTCCCTTTCCTCCAGCCCTGTCTCTTTTTCCTCACATGATCATAATCTTGTTACAGTTCCTTGGCTGCCTGCTGCTCAAGCTCAGGTGAGAGAGACAGGCTGCTCAAGCAGCAGCTTCCTCTGCTGAAACTACCACACTGATCTCACCATATTACCCTCACATGTGAGCACATACAGGATGTTCAGTGCTCTAGATGAGCAATATTAAAGATGTTACAAGTCCTGAGAGTGACATTATTTGGCCTCATTTTTATCTTGCCATTAAAAGTTACCCAAAATACGTATTCTGTTCGGGAAACACTTCAAGTTCATAATGTAATATTTAAAGTTAACAAGCATATTTTAAACAGTGAGACAAGTCTGACACATCTCCTTAAACATTTCCAGGAAAAGTATTCTACAGTGTTTTTACAGGTGCTATAATATCCTTTTAGTTGAAAAAGAAATGTGAAAGAACAAAATAACTTAGATATTATTTTAAAGCTATCTGCAGTAACACAGTATGTAAGATTTCCCAATAAAAAGTTTCAACTGCACAGCTTTAAAAAAAATTCTTCAAGCTACTTACAATGCAACTTAACACAGCTGGCAATTCCTACAAAATATATTCCATCTACTTTCAAAAGAAAAATTCGTAAGTACAGTGTTTCATAGGG